GTAGAAATAACCGAGTTGAATCGCATATCATTGAAACGCTTATTCGCTGGAGGAGATGCCTAGCTTAGTCACATATGGCTATTTACTTTGCTGTCATGGCAATAAGACACAAGTATAACTCTCAAATCGCAATGCCGGTTCTGGCATTGCGATTTTCTCAAAATGGCATTCTGCATGCCGAGTTTGACAACTCGTGTTTCATAATAGTTAAAGCCACATAATTCGACATACTGCTTCCTATTTGGAATAGCTAGAAATGTACAGAGGGATTCTTTTAAATCTTTTGTCATTTTCATTTTGTGGTATTATATCTAAAAAAATAGGCGAAAATCGTGTTTTTTTTTAGCATGTGTCAAGTATATTTTCACATAATTAAACGAAAGAACAATATTTTGACAAAAGCCTCTGTAGATTACCAAGCAGTTAGTTTCGATTTAAAGCTTTCGTGACTGAAAGGATTCGTCTTCTTGGTTCTTTCGGTAAAGTCACGTAGAACGAGAATTTTATTGTCTTATTTTGTTTTATTGTTTTATTCTCATTCTACGTGACTTTACTGAAAGAACAAAGATGGAACCAGTTAGTTATTGATCACATTAAAACAAACCAATTAAGTTCTGACTTCATCTACTAAGCCACTAGTGTTTTACATAAAATGCAAATGTGTTCATATTTAATGAGATAACACACAATATGCATAAAAGAATGGGTGGAAAGTCACAATACAAAAAAATCTTATATTTTTGTGTATATTCATCTGGTAATGTTTTCATTCTGATAAAAGGACTGGAGTTTTGTTTTTGCCTATTCACCTGTAGCACCTGCCCTTAATTTAATTAAGATTATTTAAGATGAATTTTACCCTTCATCATAATGTTAATTTTGCTTTTGCGTTGTAACTCTCTGCTTCCGTCAATGCGTAACCAAAGTACTGACAAATTAATTCGGGTTTTGCATCAAAGTAATGATTATTTCTGATTGTACTGCATGGTGCAGGTGGAAACCAACTGAATATGGGCCCACGGTGAACAAGCAAGGAACAACCCACTAGCAAAGCGACCATGGTTGGAGTGCATCATCCACTGTTCTGATGATACAGATAAGCCGGTGCCACCACAAAGTGTTGACTCCTGGAGAATTCTACTCAGGGCAGCTCGGATACGAAATCATGCACCAGTTTTGGAACCGGCAAAAAGACATTCCCGAGGGACACATTCCAGAAACATACTACCGCAGAAAGTGTCGCAGCATCTTCACCGTGAAGAAAGTTCTTGATGGCGTCCTTGCAAAAAGAAAAGCAAAGTGACAGTGGCTCTGCTGAAGAGAAGGAATCTAAGAGAACAGCTCGACATGCCCCCGAGTACATCCAAGTACTTTATGACACAGAGTGCATATTTGTGTCAGAAAACCAACAAATTATGGCCAAGGGAAAGGATACGAGAGAAGCACCGGTGCAGTGGTCGAGAACTGCGAGCCGATGCAAAGATCAGGAGGACAGCAGAATCCTTGCCATTGTGAGTAGGGACATTGTAGCAGCTGAAGGGCACTACCGCAGGTCATGTACACCAAAGAGGTTTCCAAAGAAGAGGTTGCCAGCAATGAAGATAATGATGCTGCAGCCCAGCACGAAGCCGCTGTGAATCAATCATACAATGGAGCTGTTCCTCTTCATCAGGATGGAGCGTTTTGGCAATCCTCAAGTGATGACAATGACTGATCACACTTCGAGACTGGTTGCTTCAATCAACTCCCTAGGCATTGTCCAAGTCAAGGAATCAACCAAGAAGCACAGAAGGCGAAATCCGGAGAGTCCGTTTGCTGGAGCCTTGCACATCTTCGCTGACGGGAAAGGAAAACTCCTCCTCTGTCCAGATAACCTGTCCATGAGGGAACTTACCAAAGAAAATCGGCCTCTCAAAACTGGCGGTGCTCAAGATGTTATTAGCCAAAGCAGGCATCAAATTGAGAGAGGATATCAAGAGCACAGGATGTGGTTCTGAAGGCAGATAGAAACCTGTTCAGCCACATGATCCTGGTGGCCTGAGAGCAGGAAGGTGAATATGAAGGATTACAATACCCCCCCCTCCGCCTCAAATCACTGCACCCGAATGAGTTAAATGATGACGTCACCCTGCTGCTCTATTTAAGACCGGGAGCAAGTGAGGGCTTTACCATTCTGGCGAATTGCCCGATGATGCTGGATGTAATTACCAGCGAAACGACGTACTCAAACCACTCTTCAACACACCGGTGGGCTAAAGTAGTGAACTATTTGTCTTTTGTCAAAGTGACACTTTTTTGCCGATTGGCCGTGTCGGGTGGTGGAGGGTTACGACACATTTATAAATAACGCGATTTGACCCAAAAACCTTTATTATAAAAAAAGGATGTCCTTGCCCACCCACTGGGCCCACTGCCATGGGCACTGGCAAATGCTGATGGGTCCCTACGAAAAACGAACAAAGCTGCACTTGCCAGAAAGATTGAAAACAATGCGTCTCCTGCAGAAGAACATCCCAACCCCATCTACTTCCATCATTGATGGGGATGAGCCTGGTCCAAACAATGAACGGCAACAACAAAACCTTTGCCACAGGTGGCAGAGTCAGCCTTGACCCAGGTCCTCCACGAGGGGGCACAGAGTGAGAGGATTGATGTTGTTTTTGACGTCTACTGACAAGACTTCGATCAAAGATGCTGAACGACTGAACTGGGGTACAGATACCACTCTCCAGTACAAGAACCTTGCAGGGGGACACCACGTCCAGCAGTGGAGGAAATCCCTGTGCAGTCCCTCCGACAAGACCAGTCTCATCAAGTTTCTGGTGGAAGAGTGGAAACTGCCATGATACAGAGAGATGCTGCGTGGCAATGTGTTGTACATGACCTGTGAGGAAACCTGCTACAAGTTGACAGAAGATGAGTGTGAGGAAGTAGCAGGGCTGCACTACACGCATGAAGTAAGCGGACACCCGTCTGCTCCTGCATGCATTGCATGCAGCAAATATGGCCTCAAAGGCAGTTATCATCACAGCTGAGGACACTGATGTCATGGTTGCTTTGCCTTGGCTTCCAGAAGGACATCACCTGTCCCATCTACCAGAAGTGTGGGACACAGAACTGCACGCGGTTTGTCGATATCAGCAAACTGGCAAGGTCACCTGGAGACAGCCTCTGTGACAGCCTAATTGGCTAACACGCCTTCACAGGCTGCGACACCAAATGCCCTGAAGACGGTGAGAAAGGACACTTCCTGCCCAAGAGACTGGGGCGGTCATGGAATGTGAACGATGAGCTGCTCCAAACAATTGAGCAGTTCACCTGCCGCATGTATGTTGCTAAGAGCAGCACTGGTGAGGTGAACGAACTGTGCTACACCAGCTCTTCTGCACCAATAGGGGAGAAGTCGAGTCCAGCCAGCCGCCACCATGCAGAGACCGTCTCTTCGCGCATGTTCAACGAGCCAACCATCAGGCAGATATCTGGAAGTGCTGTCTGCAGGCTAACCCTGTGGTGCCAAGCCCTACTGAGTATGGGATGGACAGCCGATGACGGCAAGCTGGCCATTTACTGGATGCGCTACCCCACCCGCACCAGATGTGGCCTTGGAACTGTTAGCACGTCAGTGTGTGCGTACATGTAAAATGCCAAGCTGCACGTGCCTGTCAAATTGACTGACATGCACAGACATGTGCAGGTTACAGACCTGCAGTAAGAAAAAAACTGCAGGATGATCCGGAACCTGACTTTGAACTCGGGGGAGTCAGATGACGAGAAAGACCAGCAGTTTGATGAGTGACACAGGGCGGTGATTCTGATGGTATTACTGTGGTGGCAGTAGTAGTATACATTAATGCACTGTGTAGTGATTCCGGACTTGGTCACCCTTGTTAACACCATCTATGTACACAGAGCTTGATAACAATGTTACCTTCTTCACATGGTAACTACAACTAAGCTGCAACTCCGCAAAGGTGATCATATCAGAATATGTCCCACACATATGGAGGATTACAAAAATCATTACAAGACGTTGCCACCTCAGGTGGTACCACAATAAGTGATTTTTTTTGGGGTCTGGGCCCACGGACTAAAGCAAAAAGTCGCTTGCTCAAGCAACACTGCTCAGCGCCGCTGCTGTAATCTAGACAACTCCTTCCGAGTTGAATGTTCAAAGTTGTTCCCCTGCCCGAGGCTCCATCGCCAACAGCCGCTGTCAGTCCCGCGTCACCGCGCCCCCGCGCCCCCGAGTCCCGAGTGACCAAGTGCCGAGGATCCCATGAGGATTTTTCTGAACACACGAACGACGCCAGGGTCGTCACTGGAAAGTGCCCTGTGTGCGGGATCGCTACGGGCCATCCGGGTAGCGCCGTGAGCGACGATGGCCCCTGGCTGCCAACCCCGCACTATCTTCTACCATCTCCGCGGGCACGCAAAAGCAAACATGCCAAGCCGCGTTACGCAAGACCAACGGGTCCGGAGCACCGCACGCAGATACGCACCGCGCACACGTTCGCGACCCACACGCGAGCGCGCAAACACCGACACACACACACACACACGCGAGCGTCTGTTAAGCCCCATCGGCTCGGTTGAATAACGGCAATACAACGTGCGGCTACGCAAGGCGCAGCCCCTGCAAGTGCCCGCTCACGCCGCTGCTGGCGGAAGGGCCCTCCACCAGAGGGAACTGTAAAAGAGGGGTGGTTTGGTCTCCTCTTCCACGCCGGCCCGACGTGTTGGAAGATGGAGGTGACAGAGCCCCCCCAATTTACCCTGCAGCCCCCCCCCCCCGCGACCTGCAACACCCCCCCGCGACCTCCGCCTCCCCCCGCGACCTCCGCCCCCCCCGCGACCTCCGCCCCCCCCCCCCCCCCGCGACCTGCGACCCCCCCCCGGCGACCTGCGGGCCCCCCCCCCACGACCTGCAGGGACCCCCCCACCGCGACCCCTGCGACCTGCATGCCACCCAACGACCCACCGGGCCCCCACTCACGTTGTACCTCGTGTGGCGTCGCTGCTCACGTGCGTCCTCGCGATGACGTCACAGGCGCTCGTTCGCCCTCCCTGCGAGGGAGACACGCACAGTCAGCCACAAAGACGAAGATCCTCACCCCCCTCCCATGGCCTTAGCAGACTGATGGGGGCAAGTGCTGTTGGCGAGTAGCACCTGTGAAGGCCGCCTTTGTCTCCCCAGTGGTGATTTTTACACATCTCGCAACCATGTGCTCATTTGGGGCCGAGTCGACCTTGGGGAGGCCCAGACCTATTTTCCGATAATCGTCACTGATGTTGGCCGTGAACGGGAATCAAACTTGGGTCACCTGGGTCATCGCGCTGCACGACCACCCCCCACATGCAGTCAGCCACAATCACACGCAGTCAGCCACACTCACGCAGTCAGCCACACTCACACGCAGTCAACCACAATCACCCACGCAGTCAACCACAATCACCCACGCAGTCAGCCACACTCACACACGCAGTCAACCACACTCACACGCAGTCAGCCACACTCACACGCAGTCAGCCACACTCACACACGCAGTCAGCCACACTCACACACGCAGTCAGCCACACTCACACACGCAGTCAGCCACACTCACACGCAGTCAACCACACTCACACGCAGTCAACCACACTCACACGCAGTCAACCACACTCACACGCAGTCAGCCACACTCACACGCAGTCAGCCACACTCACACACGCAGTCAACCACACTCACACACGCAGTCAACCACACTCACACGCAGTCAGCCACACTCACACACGCAGTCAGCCACACTCACACACGCAGTCAACCACACTCACACACGCAGTCAACCACGCTCACACGCAGTCAGCCACACTCACACACAGTCAACCACACGCAGTCAACCATAATCACACGCAGTCAGCCACACTCACACACAGTCAACCACACTCACACGCAGTCAACCACACTCACACACGCAGTCAGCCACAATCACACGCAGTCAGCCACAATCACACGCAGTCAACCACACTCACACACGCAGTCAACCACACTCACACGCAGTCAGCCACACTCACACGCAGTCAGCCACACTCACACACGCAGTCAACCACACTCACACACGCAGTCAACCACGCTCACACGCAGTCAGCCACGCTCACACACGCAGTCAACCACACTCACACGCAGTCAACCACACTCACACACGCAGTCAACCACACTCACACACGCAGTCAACCACACTCACACGCAGTCAACCACACTCACCCGCAGTCAACCACACTCACACACGCAGTCAGCCACACTCACACGCAGTCAGCCACGCTCACACACAGTCAGCCACGCTCACACACGCAGTCAACCACACTCACCCGCAGTCAACCACACTCACACGCAGTCAGCCACACTCACGCAGTCAGCCACACTCACACACGCAGTCAACCACACTCACATGCAGTCAGCCACACTCACGCAGTCAGCCACACTCACACACGCAGTCAACCACACTCACACGCATCAAGGGACCTCCCCCTTGCCAGTATCAAAATATGATAATAGGTTTTACCCTCTGGCAATAATATAACAGTTGTGTTAAGATGTTTAAACACCAAACTGAAACCTTTTGCAAGGAATCATGTCTGCATTAACCACATGTCCTTGTGGTGAACATGCAAACATAAACAAAACATGCTCTGATACTATCAAAGCATGTTTTCTGTTAGTTTTTGGTTAATGCAGACATGATTCCTTGCAAAAGGTTTCAATTTGGTGTTTTAACATCTGAACACAACTGTTGTATTATTGCCAAAAAGGGTAAAACCTATTCTTATACACTCACACACAGTCAGCCACACTCACACGCAGTCAGCCACACGCACACACACACACGCAGTCAGCCACACACACACTCGCACGCAGTCAACCACACACACACACTCACACGCAGTCAACCACACACACACACTCACACGCAGTCAGCCACACTCACACAGTCAGCCACACAACAGCGGCACCACAAACTCTCACAGCAGCCGCGACATCACAAACCATGAGCGCATTACACGTGGCTTCCCCATGTTCGGATTTATTTGGAGTTGGCGGTGAATTGTGCCGGCAGCGATGGTGCCGGCGACGCCGGTGATGTTGCCACCACCAACACTGGCACCATCACCGCCTGCACGCGGAGCGGAACGTCGGACATCGTGCCAAACAATACGCGGTACGCAACCCGTTCACGCATCGGAGAGCTACGCATGGGCACAACCGATTGGGGATACTGCAAATCAGACGGAAATAACATTCACCTTTCTTGATAAAAGGGATACACTCTCACCCGGAACATCGTGGGGCCCTCGGACCAAAGGACTCGGCTCATCCACGCCAGCATGGGGGTGGCGATGGTGGTGCCAGTTCAGTTCCGTGCATGTGTCAAGACCATTGCCTCGTTTTATAAGTAAGCCAGATTTTCTCAAAACTCTGGGCAAATTAGGCGCTTCAAATCGACACTGCCGTGCGCGTCGTTAGGACGATTATGAAATGTCGACTGTGAGGTCGCCTAATATGTGGAACTGCCCCACAATAGTCTCTGAAGCAGTAACACGCAAACATCTCCCCCTAAAGGCTCAGACTGTTGGGGCAAGTGCTGTTCACGAGCACCTACGAAGACCGGCACGGCACACAAGGGGGTGTGTGGAGGGGGGGGGTGGCCAGTGCCACACAGCCGACCACCTGTCTCCTAAGTATTCAAATCTACACGCCGTACTCTCGGTGCTAATTCAAGGCCGAGTCTACCTAGCAGAGGCCCAGGGACGGTTCAAATATTCGCTTCTGTTGCGAGCGGGAATCGAACTCGGGTCGCCGGATTCGTAGAGCAGATGCGCTGACCACTGCGCCACCGCTTCCCACAGTAAGACACACATGCCCACGGAGAATCCCACTGATATGCAAGCGGTAAAGGGGCAGCTCTGCAACCGCTTTGCTCGTGCCACTGCTGGCACAAAGGGCCTCCGCTATAGATGGGGCCCATTTGGTCTACTCTCCAGCGCTGACATTGTTGGAAGAGGTGGGAGGACCCAAACTTTAATCCCACCACACACGACCTGCCACAGACTGCGGTGAACCCATCTATACTGACCAGGGAAGACAGAGGTGGGAGGTTTGTAGAAATTTGCCGCCCACCCCCCCACCCCTCGTTTCGACCGCCACACCAGGAGACGGAATCGGATCCAACGATCTCTGGATCGCAGGTCCAGCCCGCCCCGTAAACGACGACGACCACACCACCACCGCGGTGGCTTCAACCGATCGGTGTGCCGAGATTTATTCATAGCGACCGCGCGCGCGTTCGCCCAGGAGAGCCTCGCCGAGTCTCAACATCATTCGTCAGGAGGGTCCCGCGAAAGATGTCGCGGTCGAAGGCAATTAATTTCTCCCGTAGATTCACGACCGGGCTAACTTGGGCTGCCGTTTTAGAAACGTGGCAAATTTGGAGCTTTGACGTCGGCACGCATTGGCCCCGCTCGTGCCAACGGCAAAACCACCAAAGACAGTCACCGGAATGCGCTGCTTCTGCGGCCGTCTGGAACGCTCCTCATTCCGATATCAGGAAGCCAGTGTGAGCTGTGCACTTTGTAAATCATCATCTAGATTGACAAAATCATTTCTTGAGAACTGCTTTTAGTGCGTTAGTTTGTTGTCCCTTCCCCCGCACCTCCGATTAGTGCAGTTGGCTACGCACGGTGCGAAAAGAAGTTCAACACACAACTCAACAAATTCGTCGTGTGTGGCCTTTAAAAGAAAAATAGTGTATCGTAGGCGAGATTTCAGGCAATAGCCGTTCTTAACAGCACAGAGGCCAGAGGGGTCCAGTGGCTCAGAGGTTTGGAGTGGCTCTGCGGTGAAGAAGGTTCAGTGCACGAAACGTCAACTAGTCTGTTTGTTTAAGGGCCCACACGCACACACGAGCGGCATTGTTATTGGCACGGGTCGTTGTTTTTATCATTTGAGCTTATGCACCACTACCAACACAGAATCAAGAGTCTTTATTTAGCTTTACGTGGCTGCATCGGCCGGACAATTTGTCAAAAAAAAATCTCCTGCGAATGACGCCACGGGACCGTTGAACGGAGGGAGGGAAGGGGGGGGAGTGCCAATCCACCAAGCAGTCGCCTAGGATATACGGACACTCGCACGCGGGGGGTGGGCTGTGCCCCCCACAACGGAGGACACGCTCCTGCAGCAGCTGCATTCATTATAAAAACACGGGGGGGGGGGCACCTCGCCAAACATTTTCGGTATAGAAGCCCCCCAATCAGCACCCCCCCCAACCCATCAGCCCCCCCTCCCGCTCATTCAAGACAATTGGTACCCACGCCGCCCCCCAATCCCACCCACCTCCCTCCCCGAAGTTGCTAAGCCCACCAAACAGAGCGCTTGCTGTACCCTATATTATTCGTTGTAGCTTTTGTCAGTTTGGTGACGAACCCAGGATGGCCGGAATGATGAGACCGCTACCCAACGTCCCCACCCTCTCCCTCTCTCTCTCGTCGTGGTCTCTCGAGTTCTCTCCTGGCTCCGCCAGAAAAAAAAACCCCGACGCGGACAGACATCACGCGTAGGTCAGGCACGTCAGTCGACTGCTGGATGAACGCCTCCTCAAAAAGCTGCGTCTGTCGCGAGGGCACATTCGACCATACTTCACGGTGAAAACTGCAGGTTGGGACACCGATATATATCCAAAGTAGAAACCCCCCCCCCCTCCCCACCTCTTAACGACGATAATTATTGATTCCAACTCAACCAGTCATTAAGCGAATGGGTCGCAAAGCGAGTATAAGAAACACGTTCAAGGCTTAATTCGTCACGATACTATAGAAAGTTGCCCCTTTTTCACCCAAAATACTTACTTTATATTTGCACAATTTAAATGAACACACAAAGATACTAACAACATTATAAACACATAATATTAAAATAAACATGGTTATTCAATGCATTCAATAATATTTGCTGTATCTACAACAGCCCGTCGTTAACAGGGGAATGGTTGCTAAGGGAAAACACATTGGAGTCTATGCAGGCACTACACTATACACTACAATAAACACTACATTATACACTACACATTGGGCTCTATGGAGGCCCATCGTTAAGCGATTAGTTGTTAACAGGGGTGGCCGTTAAGAGGGGTTCTGCTGTATATATTTTTTACATAGACACGTACAATTTTTGCACGGGATTATGATACCGGTGAAAACCCACTGAAATTAAAGGACCCAAGTTAATAATTCATACCCAGCACAGCCAACTCTGGCTCAGGATAAGAGCTCAATCCCTGGTCGGTGATAGACACGGCAAATCATCACGGCCATCCTTCTTGCGGTTCCTAAAACGGGAAGAGTTACTTCGACCCAAGTCAAAAACGCTTGCGTTTACAGACAGACGCACGGCTTCCTGCCATAGCAACGTGGACTTTCCACCAACGATTCGAGGCTGCCAAGAAGCAGATGGGTGGGGGGGATGTGGGTGGTTGGGGGGGGGGGATTATTAAATTTGTCAATGCTACTTTTATGCCTGGCAGCAGGTTTAATGGGCCACACCCTTCTGCAGATATCTAGGAGTTGAAACCGGTCCAAGGTTTGCAACCGTTCATTGTGCAACATCACAAACCACTTTTATCCTGGCCCAAAGGTCCCGAACAACAATTGGCCAGCAACAAACAGCACTATCGAAGGCGCAAATCGTAAGAGTCACCGTACTGAGCATTAGGACGGATTTTTTTCGCCGTCTTGAAAACGGAAAGTCCGGCAAGCGTGCGTGGGTTAGTGTGCACGCATGCGTCCGCGCGTGTACAAGTATGGCACGGTGCTGGCCACCCACCCCCTTCGTGTGCCGTGCCAGCCTTCATAGGTGCTCGCTAACCAGCACTTGCTCCTAGAGTCCTTTAAAGCTCCGCGGGTGACCTTTTGTCTCTTGTTAGCACGTGCATGCCAGTGTGTGTGCGTGTTAGTACGTCTCTGCGCCCGGCGCGCGCGTAAGCAAGCGCGTTGTGCGCAAAGGCCGGACGTAACTTCATCGTCACCGGGCACGAGCACGGCACTCTGCGGGGCTCTGCGGGGACATCCTCCAATCCGGCGAGTCCGGCGATCCGTTTCAGAGTGGCACCGCTAGAGAGCCAGCACCGGCGGCAGGCTCCGGCGTGCGCGCGCCCTAACCCGCCGGCGAGCCGGAGGCCCATTGCCGTTTGGTCGTTTCATTTACGCGGAGCCCGCCCGCAATTTACCGAGACGACGCTTCGACAGACCGCAATGGACGGCGCTCGGACACGCGGGGGGGGGGGGGGGGGCCCTCGTCATCGCGATGGCGGGGGGCCCGGCACAATTCCCGCGACGGCCGTCAACGATTGTTGAACGGAGGGCAACCTCCACCCTCGCTGGCTCTAGCTTCACAATCCCCTTGGCACTTCACAATTATAATCGTCACCGTTTAGCCATGATCAATCCACTGCTGGACGAAAGCCTTCCCTCCCCCCCGCCCCCGGCCGCCCGTCACCTCCTCTAGCACCATCATGCAAAGCGACACGGGGGCACTTGGACTGATTTTAGCACTCTCTCGGGACTCGCTCCACGCTGTGATGGTGTAATTATGATGATGATGATGATAATGTACAGGCCTTTTTTTAAATCCACTTCTCGTGGAGGGCGCCTCCCCGTGCCCAGGCCAGTCATCGTGGGTCCGGTGAATGTGGTGCCAAGGATCAGCTTGGACATCGCTCGCCACTGACGTTATCCGTGTCGGTAATGCCGATTAGTTCAGTGCGCAAACTACAGCACCACTACACCAAAGATCCCCGGTATAGCCTTCACAGTGTTGGGGCAAGTGCTGTTAGCGAGCACCTATGAAGGTGAGGGGACGGGGTGGCCAACACCACGCCCAGCCGCCTTTGTCTCCCCAGTGACTATGTTTACACACTGCACCAGGTACTCATTTGAGGCTGAGTCGACCTAGGGGAGGCCCATGACAGGTTCAGATAATCGTCACTGGTGTTGGCCAGTGAGCGGGAATCGAACTCGGGTGGCCAGGTTCGCAGCACGCTAACCACTACACTACTGCTCCCCCACTACACCACACATACACATTCGTACATAAAAACACATTGAAAAGGCACATACGCACTTGCATTACACACGCACTATAAAAATAAACACATACCAAACTTTACGTTCACACATATACACAAACGTAAATTACTTAAACACACACACACCCCCAAAGGCAAAAACACAAGACTAATATATCACGTGTTGTTGTTGTTGTGTGCCGTGTACGTTGTTTACAGCAAACGGGAGCGCCGTACGTGTTGCTGCCTTGACGCACACACAATAACACGGGCAACAATAACAACACAACAGCCGCCATTCACAGCCGAGTTGAGGGTCACGTCACCCCGCAGCGCTTGTGCCAGGCTAGGTGCACTTTTATTTGGGGGGGCCGCGCACGGGCGCAGATTCACGCGCGTACACACACACACTCGCATTATGATTCGCATATACTCTACACAACTATAACACACACCACAAAAACATACGTTGTGCACATGCAGTACTCCTATGTAAAAATCACACTTCTATATTGTACACACACAACAGACACAATGAACACTCACATCACGTGATTCGCATTATACTGTACACACCTTTACCACACAAACACACACATCACATGTGAATGCACATACCACAAAAAACAAACGTTATACACATGCAGTACTCGCATATAAATCACACACACACACTTCTATATTGTACACTTACATGTTACAATATACACATGCACACACATGTACTTATACTGTATACACACACAACGTACCACACACACACACAAACACACATGCAATAAAGACAAATGTCCCACCCACCCGAATAGCCGACACAAACAGTTGGGGCAAGTGTTGTTAGCGAGCACCTACCTATACAGCAGGTCAGCATTGCGAAAGAGCTAGCAGCCAGTGTGGCCAACATCACCACATTATAAACACGGACACACACACACAAGAACACCACACACACAAAACAAACACACACACACAATCAAAATCATCAACATGCAAATTGGCCGAACGTCATCCCAAGGGAGAGGCAGAATGCTTTAAGAGATCGAGTTTTGAGACTCGATGAGATGTTTTCCTGAACAAATAAATGACATCATTATTATAATATATAAAGCACACACGCGTGCACACGCACACACACACGCATGCACACGCTCGCCACACAATGGCCTGGCGTTCATCACAGCGGCCCTTTGTTGCACGAGACCCTCTGCTCCTGTGCAGTTATTAAACTACAGGCTGTGACTACACAAAGACAAAAATCCCCACCCCTCCACCACCGTGTAGCCTTAACAGACTGTCGGGGCAAGTGCTGTTAGCGAGCAGCACCTACGAAGGCCGGCACGGCACACGGGTGAGGTGTGGGGTGGCCAGCAACCACGCCCGACCGCCTTTGTCTCTCCCAGTGACGATGTTTACACACAGCACCCAGGTACTCATCTGATGCCGAGTCGACCTAGGGGAGGCCCAGGACGGGTTCGAACAATCCCCAACGTTAGTGTTCGTGAGCATGAATCTTACACGGGTGGCTGGGTTCGTAGAGCAGGGTGTTAAACGCTACACTAGCGCTTCCCACATCATCTCTAGTGTGTGTGTGTTGTTCCTACACACACACACTGCAATAATGTATACAGTATACGCGTGTGGTTGTGTACAACACAATCATTACACACCCACGTGTACGAGTGTGGTTGTGTACAACACAATCATTGCACAAACACTTGTACAAGTGTGGCTGTGTATAAGAATGCACATGCATCACATTAGGACACACAGTTATGGCCTTTGTGTGTGTGCGTACACAGTGTGTGGATATAGGAACAGCATGTACATAAGTACTTTACGGTTCTGGCACTGGCCCGAGTGAAAACTGCACAACACGCACAGTCTCTCTCTCTCTCTCTACAACACAGCACAGCAAACACACAACACACAGTCACTAAAACATTACACTACACACACTAACTCACTAAAACATTACACTACACACAGTAACTCACTAAAAATTACACTACACACACTAACTCACTAAAACATTACACCACACACACTAAAATATTACACTACATACACACAATCACTAAAACATGACACTACACACACTCACTAAAACATTACACTACACACACTCACTAAAACATTACACACACTCACTAAAGCATTACACACACACACTCACTAAAGCATTACACACTCACTAAACATTACACACACACTCACTAAACATTACACTGCACACTCACTCACTAAAACATTACACTCCACTCACTCACTAAAACATTACACTCCACACACTCACTAAACATTACACTACACACACACTCACTAAAACATTACACTACACACACACACTAAAACATTACAACTACACACTCACTAAAACATTACACCACCCACACACACTTACTAAACATTACACTACACACACACTCACTAAAACATTACACTACATACACACACTCACTAAAACATTACGCTACACACACTCACTAAACCATTACGCTACACACACTCACTAAAACATTACACTACACACACTAACTCACTAAAACATTACACTACACACACTCACTCACTAAAACATTACACTACACACACTCACTAAAATATTACACTACACACACTCAATCACTAAAACATTACACTACACACACTCACTCACTAAAACATTACACTACACACACTCACTAAAACATTACACTACACACACTCACTAAAACATTACACACACTCACTAAAACATTACACACACTCACTAAAACATTACACACACACACTCACTAAACATTACACACACTCACTAAAACATTACACACACACTCACTAAACATTACACACACACACTCACTAAACATTACACTCACTCACTAAAACATTACACTGCACACACTCACTAAAACATTACACTCCACACACTCACTAAACATTACACTCCACACACTCACTAAATATTACACTACACACACTCACTAAAACATTACACTACACACACTCACTAAAACATTACACCTACACACACACTCACTAAAACATTACACCTACACACACACTAAAACATTACACTACACACTCACTAAAACATTACACTACACACTCACTAAAACATTACACCACACACACTCACGAAAACATTACACTACACACACTCACGAAAACATTACACTACACACACTCACTAAAACATTACACTACACACACTCACTCACTAAAACATTACACTACACACACTCACTAAAATATTACACTACACACACTCACTCATGAAAACATTACACTACACACTCACTAAAACATTACACTACACACACTCACTAAACATTACACTACACACACTCACTAAAACATTACACTACACACACTCACTAAAACATTACACACACTCACTAAAACATTACACACACACACTCACTAAACATTACACTACACACACTCACTCACTAAAACATTACACTACACACACTCACTAAAACATTACACACACACTCACTAAAACATTACACTCTACACACTCACTAAACATTACACTACACACACTCACTAAACATTACACTACACACACTCACTAAACATTACACTACACACACTCACTAAACATTACACTACACACACACTCACTAAAACATTACACACACACACTCACTAAACATTACACTACACACACTCACTCACTAAAACATTACACTACACACACTCACTAAAACATTACACGCACACACTCACTAAAACATTACACTCTACACACTCACTAAACATTACACTACACACACTCACTAAACATTACACAACACACACACTCACTAAAACATTACACTACACACACACTCACTAAAACATTACACCTACACACACACTAAAACATTACACCACCCACACACACTTACTAAACATTACACTACACACACTCACTAAAACATTACACTACACATACACTCACTAAAACATTACACTACATACACACACTCACTAAAAAATTACACTACACACACTCACTAAAACATTACACTACACACACTCACTAAAACATTACACTACACACACTAACTCACTAAAACATTACACTACACACACTCACTCACTAAAACATTACACTACACACACTCACTCACTAAAACATTACACTACACACACTCACTCACTAAAACATTACACTACACACACTCACTCACTAAAATATTACACTACACACACTCACTCATGAAAACAT